TAGTTAGCATCAAATGTGATGTTTCCCCAAAAGTTCTTGGTTGGCCTATCACATGATTTTGTGAGTTTGAATTTAAGGCGTGTCACTTTGTCTAAAGTTAAAAAAAATAAGATTTTCTTAACGATCCTCTCTTTTTTAATAGTCAACCTCTAAGTAAGATTACTAGAAAGAACATTTTTTTGTGAATTGTTCTGTGCTTCAGATGATGTTGCAAAACAGAAGGTGATGTTCTACAAAATGAGTTATTACTTGTTTTAAACAACTCCAAAAACTTTAAAAACACAAAAATATATCCTAAATTAAATGCAATATCCTAAAAAATTTAACTAAGAAACAATATAGAAACAACATACACTAAAAATAAATTTGCAAACAGATGACTAGGTGTACTTACAAACTATGATTATGATTCTACATAATACTCTGAATTTCAAAAGTTATTCTAATTTTCTTTTAGACTAAGACGAAGTTAATTAAGCTACTTAGGTATTAAAACTAGGCGACAACCTACTTAACAATCTAATGACAAATTAATTAAGATATGAAAATCAACAAACGAAGTCCTGTTCCAGAACTAAGAGCAATTAATATGAACACCCCAAGAATTTGAGCATAAATGAAAGCATGGAGTAAGCAAAAATTTAACGTAATCAAATAAACACTTAAAAGGAGTAGAATCCATAGAAAATTACTAACCAAATCAATGGGTAAATCCAAACAACTAGGTTGGTTCACTTCTGAATTCCCAAATATTAACAATAAGATGCAATCTTTGAAGGAAATCTCAAACAAAACAAAAGATTCAAACTAAAGTTATGAACTGAAGGCTGGTTGATCTAATTTGGAATTGAAATTACAGTGCGCTAGGCAGTTTTCAAGATGGGTAGGCCTGAAAAAAAATGAATTTTCCTTCATTGTTCTCTTTTACCTCAATGCTGGGCTAGTTTCCCATGATTTTCAATTCACTTCTCACCACTTTCTGTGCGTGTTTGGCTATTTCCAAGTTCTGGCAATAATGTTTTGCTCCAAGTATGCCAGCTAGATTTGACCTCTTGATTAATTGTAATTAACCTCAATTTAATCCCCTCCTAAAATCTCACTTAAGAAATGTTTGAAATTGTTATGAAATATTGTGACTGTAATAGTGCTGTGGTTGTGCTGAACTGTATTGTAGTATAATTATAGTTGAAAGTTATTTTAATATTTGGTTATTTATTTTTTAAAAATACTATGGATAAAATATGATAAATTTTATTAATTACTAATTAAAATTTAAAACAATTGTAAATTATATAATTATTAAAATAGATAATATTTATTTTTTAATAATTTAGGCTTTTAGATTTATTATAATTATTAAAATATTATAAATTATTATGTAGTTAAATTATATGAAATTGAGTTTTAATGGATAATTTTATAATTATATTCAATATTATGTGTTTTATAAAAAAGGTACAGTAAGAAAACTCCAAAATGAAGTTTCTTATTTTACATAAAATTATTGTAAATCTATTATAATTTTCTATGGTTTAAAAAAAAAACAATATGAAAGAAATTATAAAACACAGGTATGTTTAAAAGTACTATATAACTACATGAAAAAATCCAAAATGCAATCCCAAATACTAGTGTTGTTGATTCCATTTTGTACTGGTCAATATGGCCGGTATGTATCGATTTTTTCATTAATCCAAAACGATACAAGATTTGACTATCAAAATTCACCCATTTTGATCAAATTTTGATGTAGCAGTTGGTATTTTGGCATTCTAGTCGGTACATCTAAAATTGGCCGGCATAAATCAATTTAAATTTAAAAAGGATAAATTTCATTTTTGTCCTCAATTTTAATGTTTTGTATAATTTTCACCTTTTAACTTTTTTATATACTTTTTTAGTTCATAAATTATAAAAAATGTATTTTTTTAGTTCTTCTATCAATTACTTTGTTAAGTTTGTCTAAATATGTACATTTTTAGTCATTTAACTTAAAGTAGAAATACAAAAAATATGCATATATTAGAAATTGAGGGATTAAAAATATGTATTTTTAGTCTCTTTTAATAATTTCATATTTAGACTTTTAATTCTCAGTACTCACCGATTGTTGTCCTCTCTTCTCGATGATGTTTAGGTTTGTCTTTTGCATTCTTGTTATACTTAGAAGACATGATTTCCTTCTTTGTGGAAGTATTTTGTATTGCAAATTGTATGATATTAAACTCAAAACACTGTTATACTTTTTAATATTATCTTAATGTTCAAAAAAAATTATGGATGTTTTATAAAATTAGCCACTTTAAACTTATTTTCAATTTATCAAAATATAATGGTTTTAAACATTAGTTTCTTTTATCATTATTTTAAAATTTGATATTTAATTTATAAAAATATATATTTATAACGATAAATCCAAAATGATACATGAAAAATTTTAATATTTGATATATATCATTTCAATAATAAAATCCATACATATATTAGTACGGTATTGAAAACTTTGCCAAAATACACTCCAAGTCACCTAATTCCCATAAAATTTAATTAAAAGAAGATATATGCATCTTCTCTTACCACGTGGGACACCACCTCCATGCCACCTTCCATGTACGCCGCGGACTGCAACCGAATAGGCCCCAAATCAACTATAACCCAGTGATGTGGCGCTTACTTGGATCAACCATAGGCCCCAACTTGACACGTGGCAGCCCTTCATTGGATTTTTGCTAAAGAGGTTTATCCCAATTCCAAACTCCTCTTGCCTTCCACATCCCTTGCAGTCTGGACTGTGAATTGCAACCAGACTACTCCAAATCAACACCAAAGGCTCGTTGACATGGCACAACTCAGACCAATAGCTAGGCTCAATTGGACACGTGGCTTCCACTAATTGATTTTTTATTTTTGGTGTAAGCACGTGATAATAATAAGATATCATCAACTAAGTGATATTATTCCGAATAGTGACAATAATTAATTCATGTCACATTGACATCCCAAATCTTAATGAGATAGTTCAATGGTTAAAAATTTAAAATTTTAAATTAAAAATTTCAAATTCAAATTTTAAGTCGAATGAAAAGAGATTTGAGAATAAAAAATGATTATTCTCTTTTATATAATTCATAATCAGATATAACAAAAAAATATATTCATGTAACTCAACTTTGACGGTTCCATAAAATATATAGTTTTTCTTTTATCTCTATCCTTAAATGTAAGTTAAGAATACATTAATTATATTTTTTATATTAAATTTTTATTAACAAATTATGAAACTTAATTTTATTTTTATCACTAATATTATATATTTTTAATTAAATAATTAATAAAATTAAAATTAATTTTTAACTTTAACTTTTTAATCTAAATCAATTATAAAATATATAATAAATACATCTTTAAACACAAGTTAAAAATGCTCATATATCAAACCGTTAATTCAACTATCGTTACTTTCATTTGCCTGAATTATAACGGCGTTGAGAGACCAGTCATGGAGCTCCTATGCTTCTGCTCATTTCTTATGGTTTGACGCTGTAATCTTCGTCGAAATAATATTGCAAATGTGACCTCTCTTTAGTCTTTACCCAAAAAAACGTCAGCGTCTCCGTTAATTAGTCTACTTGAAGGAAGTTTTGTGGACGAAAGGGCCAGAGGAACACCAAAATTTTACCGGAGCAATAGGAACTAAATATCCTCCACATTTCCCTTTTTTTTTCTTTTTTTTTTCTTTTTTTTGGGAAATATCGTCCACATTTCCTCCATCAGCCCTTTTCTTGAACTACCATTCACGGTACTTAATTATCCCTTCTAAAATTGTTTGGCTGATTTTATTGAAGCGGGCAGACATCAACCTATACATCTTTAAAGAAATTAAGGCCGTTTATAATGTTATTTGTTTTTGTTTTTGTTTTATAGTTCTTTTATTTTATTTTTTGCGATATATAGTATTTTAGATACGTTTATTATTATTATTATTTTTTTTTTTGGAATCGGTGTAACTTGAATGGGGGAATGTGGAGTACCTGGACTCGATCTCTTTGGTTAAAAGCCAATTTTATAGAGAAAACTGAAGGAATATAATTTTGTTGAAGTTTTGATAGTTTTGTTAATTTTTTTTGCATTTTATAAGAATTTTTTTTATATTATAAGG